CTTAGCCAGGCCGCGGGGGAATATGCTCCCTCCTGTTATTTCTTACCTCCATGGCACGGAACACAACCGCTAAATCGCGGACATCACCACCAAAAATTCGTGGACATTACCGACAATTTCGTGGACATTGGCTATGTAGTTCAATGTCTACGTTTTGTGATAGAGGCACTGAAACCAGCTCAATCTCCGGTTACAGCTAAATCGCGGGCATGGCCGCTCTCAGTCATACTACACTCACTTCGGCTATTCTGTCACTGTTCTGTGGAAGCGTTTTCTTTCTCTGCACGCGTCGAATATTACCCTTTGAGTATATAAATACCTGGAGGTGGAATGCCTTTGTTCTCTGCAGGCCGCAAGCGAGTCCAAGAGTGGCAAGGAGTGCGAGAGAGAAAGGTATACGAACGATACCACGTGATACTTCGTCCTCTCTGTCTGTTGAATGATCGACGCATGCGCAGAGAGGACGAACATTACTCGTCTACCTTTCTCTCTCGCACACATCTTGGACACAGTTTTTGAGCCAACATTTCCCCTCCATGTCTATATACTCAAAAATATTATCGGATGTAACCGAAGTGAGTGGTTTGATCCCACATGATCTATCACGTGACTCACGTGATCCTTCTTCATCGATATCACTACCCCCCTCGCCTATCTAACCCATGGCCGTAGGAATATAAGGTGACGGAGAACAAAATTACGGGGGGGAAGTCACTGCGGGACGGTGCGACGAGGTAATTGGTGTCTAAATTTTATTGGCTGTTAGTTTGCGCAAGCGCAATGATATAAGTTCTCGTGTCCGTGTGATACATACATACCCAGGCAGCACAGTAATGTATTAAAAATGTATTAAAAATGTATATGCTGAACATTCCGTACGTATTTAAAACATCCCAATTAAAGCCTCTGACATCTTTAGTATGTATTAAAAACGTGCAGTGTTACTGATTCGGACATCCATTTTAAACATTCAATGGACCAAAGTTGAACTTATTTAAAACGTTGGTCTAATATTATAATTATTCAATATCGTATATATAATTTCACACAAACAGCATAAAAACAATCACAAAACATTTAAAAAAAATTTATGGTGTTTTCAAGCGGATCATTTTTCGTAAACTATATCGAAATCTAAACGGTCACCCATCCAAGCTATAAGCGCTACCAACGTTGTTTGACTTTTGTGATCGGGAACTGCAGAACACTTCGTGATGATCCATGACTAATGATGTTTATGACTACATTATCCGTGATAGATCAGATCAATAAAGTTATCAAAAAGATGAAAATATATATTTTTTTATAAATATTTACATACAAAAACCTGACCGTTAATCAAAATGACGACGATATAATATACAAATAAGTACAACACACTGAATCAAGAAAAGCGATAGTGTCTCGTATTTTATCTTTCGATTCTATTGATTATATTCAATTGTCTGATAAATAAATAAATAGCTGTATGTCTGCTTGTATAAGTTAATTAATAATTTTTTGTAATAAAAAAATAAGCAAAATAC